AGCGGGGCGATGGGGCGGCCGCAGTAGGGCCGGGCCGGCGTCATGGGTTCGGAGCGCGGGGCGCCGCTGCGGCTTCCTCGGGACAGGCGGCCGCTGGAGACGGAGGGGGCGGGCTGGGGCTGCGCTTGCGGCCGGCGGGGCTCGGGCGCGTGGCGGGCGGTGGCCGGCTTTTTCGCGCTCTCGTTGGCGCTGCACCTCTTGACGCTCGGCTGCTACCTGGAGTTGCGCTCCGAGCTGCGCCGCGAGCGGACGGCGCCCCAGGACGGCCGGCAGCCCGGAGGCACTGCGGAAGCCTCGCCGGACCTCGCGCCCGCCGGACGGCAGCAGCTGCAGCAACAGCCCCGCGTCCCTGGCGAGCCCGGCAGAGGCAGCCCACAGCAGGTGAGTGAGTGCGCGGCGGGCGAGGGCTGGGCTGGGCGCAGGGGCTGCTCTCTGGAACCGGCAGCCCAGACCTCCTGGCTGCGGACTGGTGTGGTCGGGAAGCGCCTCCGGCCGCCCCCTCCGCTCCTCCCGGCCGAGGATGCTCGGCTTTACAGCCGAGCGAAGGCGCCGTTCTCCGGCCGCGCCAAGGACCAGCCGTTCCGACTGAAGGCGGGCGACCCCCGGGAGGCTGGGCTAAGGGGCGGCGTCCCCCGCGGCCTTCGAGCCGGCCGCCTCTCCCTCAGCGCCAGGGCCGGGGCGGCCGAGTGGTGCGCGGGCTGGGCTGGGTGGTGGATCAGCCCGGCCTCGGAGCCCCGGCGAGATGGGCGGTTCTCGGCCAGTGGCTGTGAATGGACGGAGTGGGGCGGCTCTGGCCTCCTTTCAAACTCCGGAAGCCTTTTCGGCCGGCAGAAACCCCGGGATGGCTCGCCTTGCGGGTGAAGAGGGAATGTCCGCCAGGGGAAGATTGGCGCCTTTGGGCTGCAAAGTAGCCAGATGGGCAGAGGACCTCCCACCCCACCCACACCCCAAAGTAACCGAAACCAACGCCAACCAAGCTTAGCATCTTGTGCACAGTCTGCAGGGGTTGGGAGGGTTATTTTGGTGTGTGTATGTGTGTGTGCAAAGAAAGGCATGCTTCTAGCAAATTGCTTGTAGACTTTCCCAATGCCTGCTTTAAAGAGTTTGTAATAAATAAAAATAAGTAAGTGATGCAATCATGCATCACTGTGCACATGCAAATGGAGCTATCATGTCTGGCAACAGACACACTTTAGGCAAAGCAAAGGTAAAGAATCAGGGTCCTTGGGGACCCCAGCGACTGCCGATTGCACTCTCTTCCCAGTCTGGGCAGGGACTCTTCCTCCAGCCCCAGGCAGTGAAGCCATGGAGCCCCTCAGAGCTAGAGATTTGGGAATCTGCAAGCTTTCCATTTGACTAGAGTCCCTGGTGATAAATATCGTGCTGCAAGTCATTTGAAGAGCCCTTAATGATCAGTGCAGGGGGTTCCACCACAAAACCGCGGTAGACTAAAACGTGTGTGACTAAAGCGCGGTGACAAAACCGCACCGTCAAAACCGCGCGACAACAGCGCGCCGACAACAGTTTGCCGACAGAAGCGTACTGTAACATAACCCTAAAAATAACCCTAAACCTAACCCTAAACCTAACCCTAAACCTA